CGCCAAGCGGCGCCTTTCTCCTCCCCTAAGCACGAAGTCGAGCCGCGGCAGCAGGAACATCGCCACGGTCTCGATCTTCTGCCACGGGGCGAGCAACGACGCGTTTACCGCCTCGAGGTCGGCGACCAGGTCTCCAATGTCGCCATAGGGCGTCTGTTCGACGCGTAACCCCGTCGGGATTCCCAAATGCGCGTACGCATCCGCCTCGCCCAGCACGGGCAAGTCTTCGCCCGCCAGTTGAAAAACCGTCCGTAGGGCCCCGCCCCCCGCCCCCACGTGCAACGTTGCTCATTTGCGCGGGTTGAAAGTAAGCCCCAGGGACCGCGCGATACCTTCGCACCCAGAAAGAAGACTCTCGATGCCATCGGGGGCTGCTGCGACGAACGCAATGTCGTCAGCGTACGCCAGGGCCGTGACCCTCTCGCCAAACACCTCAAACCCGGCTCCCGATTCCGTGGCCGCTCGGGCCAGGGGATCGATCACGAGGTCGAACAGTATCGGGCTCAAGGGGCAGCCCTGTCTAACCCCCGACAGCATGGGTATGTCGTCCGTAAATCCATCGTGCGCACGAACCGCGACCGTGGCGCCTGTGTACAGGCTAGCCACGATATCCCGGAAAATCGTGGGTACTCCGATTTGCGCGAGCGTGCGCTGGATGACTGCGTGTGGGACCGAGCCGAAGGCGTCAGCCAAGTCGATCCACGCGATCACCACCTCCTTTCGCCGGTCACACGCTTGTTCCAAGATCCGGTGCAGCACGAAGGAGTGCTCGAGGCATCCCTCGTACGGCAGGAAGCCCTTTTGGGCCGCGCTCAAACGGTCGTTCGCGAGCGCCCACCGCGTCAGGCGATCGGCCAGCACGGCGGCGAAGAGTTTGGCAACGACGTCGCCCATCGCGATGGGCCGCCAGTTGCTCAGGTCTTCACGGGAGCCCTGCTTGTGCAGAAGCACAATCAGGCTCCGCTTCCACGCGCCAGGAACGTGCCCCAGGCGAAAACATGCATTATAGGTTGCCGTTAGGACCGCTGCATCCGGGTCAGCCCTCCGGAGGTCGTCATAAGTGACTCCGTCAGGCTCAGGGGACGAGTTCTTCATCTTCTTGATCCGACAGAGCACCTCGGACCGTCTCAGAGGGAAGACCAGGACATCGTTGGATTCGGTGGACGGTTCCAACGTTTCCTGGGGCGGTGGGAGGGGACCAGCTCCTTCCGTCCGCGAGGTCTCCGCGAAGTGGCGTT